ATACCAGAAGAATCAGTTTCACATACAAAAAGCGCAAACGATAAATCCAGCTGATTATCCCAACAGAGCTCAATTTTCCAAATGGTACTTGCAAAAAAATGAATGATGAACCAAGATTTCCTATGATTTCCAAGGGTCCTAGATAATACCAACAGAAACCCTAAAAAATTTACATTAACAAGTATTATAGAAAAAAAAACGAACTATAGGAGTGTATTATGGACAGATGAGGAATATTTTACAAGAAAACGCTATTTTAATACACATAATAGTCGCATTTGAAGCGAAGAAAATCCTTGTGCTTTTCACACGCAACATCAATAGAAGGTTTCGGTTAATATTTGTGCTGAGATTGGTGATCATTATCATATAGTGGGACCATATTTATTGACTGCATGGTTAGATGGTTATGTGTATTGCGTTTTTCTGAAACATACTCTACCAGAATTACTTCCCACTTAATATTCGAAGAAATATTGTTTTTAGTACGATGGTGCACCAGCACACTTTGAAATAAATAACCGAAACTATCTAAATGCAAATTTCCAAACAGATGGATCGGAAGAGGGCGATTGATTATTTCGTGCAGACCAAGCACGTTCATCAGATATGACTCCAGTTGATTTTTGTATTTGGGGTGTCGTTGTATTTTCTTATTTTGTTTTTTTTCAGTTTGTTTTTGTTGGTATTATTATAAAGATTTTCATTTTTGTTTCATAAAAACCATCATAAAATATGTATACATATATTTTCTATATATTCTGGATTAAGTGGAAGAGCAGTTGATTAATAACCAAACTGAACTTCGTCCAGAAAATAAGTCTATTGTCTAAGAATGTATTATTATTTTTTTTCGTTTTTGCGACTTATCAATAAAGGCATTTATTATTATTTTTATATTAAATCACTGGTTTATGAGACACCTGTTAATACAGAAGGAGAGTTAGTGGCTGTTTTGAAGAAATCGGCATTTGATTGCAAATCGTTACAACTTGAGTATCAAAAATAGTGGTCGTCGTAACTTCAAACAATTTTTATAAATTTTAATGCAGTATTCTTTCTAATACACTTATCTCTTTTCTGTTGTAATTGAGAGGGTTATTAAAGATTTCTAGTTTATCTTGACACTGAGGAATTTTCAGATACTAGTTTATTAATAAAAAATTTGTATTTCAGTGTCCACTATCATTTCCCAAAATTAGGAATAGCTATTCTGTGACACCCTGTATGTGTCTGTAATCGGAAAAACGACTATGTGAATTTATTATTACTCAGCGACTACTTTGGAAATCTTCATTTATTAAATAAAAAATAGACATCCCTTGGAAATTATTAGTGATTGTGGAAGATGTACTTCGTCCTTAGATTGAGGTTTTGTTAAAGCAGTTAGCAGCAATCCAAACAGAAAAAAAACTCCCGTTTATATTTTTTAATTAATTCGCACACTCTAAATAATTGAGAATTAGTTGAAATAAATAAGGAGGTCCACATTTAATTTATTCTTCTTAAGGTTGACTTTACAATAATTTTTAAGCAATATTAATTGTTATTAATAGGTAGTAATTTTAAAATCAACCATTAAATAACTATTTTAAAAATTAAACATAAAAATTGAAAAAGAAACTTACATCAGTTGTCTGTAAAATGGATATCATAACCTTTTCAGGATCATTAACACAAAGTTCATCCACTTCAAACCATGATAAATAATTACAGCGATCTTTTATCTATAAATGTTACATCAAATTAAATAAAATTTTAATATAAAAAATATTAACTTACCTTAATATAAATTTCAAGTTGTTTAAATCTCAACATTAATCTTTCAATTTCACTTGGATGTTGATATTTAGAAATTTGCGATTTCAAAACGTCAACACAGAATTCCCCTGGCCAATGTTGCATTTCTTCCATAATAATTCGCATTCTCAAATCGTCGTTGGTAATGTACCTAACAAAACTCCAATAATTTTCCTCATTTTTTTCTTTAATTAAATTACATAAAAGTATGTCTCTTAAATTATCGATATCTTCGTGTTTATCTTTTTCTGGTATTGTAAGTACAAGTTCGTACAAACACTTCCAAGTTGTATCTTTTGGTAATTTTAATTTAATGTATCCTTCATCGCAAAGAGCCGAAGATTCACTCGTTAATAATAATTCGTCGAAATAATTTTTTAAAAAGAAACTATAATCTTGATGAAGAATCGTAAGAGTTTCATTATTATTAAATAATTTTTTTAATCTTTGTATATCAGGTAAATTCATCAAATTCATAAAAACTTTAACTCGAACTTCGTTACGTTCAATTTTTGTGTCATTTAGACCGTGAATATTGTTGATTAAAAAAGCTAAGAACCAGCTTCTACGTTGTACGTAATTAATTACATCTTGTCGGGGTTTCTGTAAAGTTGAGTTTACGGTTGATTCAATATTACCTCGAATATCAAAGGTTATTTGAGGAAATGAAATATACGTTATGTGGTAAGGAAGATCTAATTTTAATTTGCAAAATAATTCGTCGAATTCAGCACCATCTAGGTTTCTTCTATACAGTAAGTTGCAAGTAATATCAGGTTTCTTATGATTAAGAATTTCAAAAACGGAAACTTCTTTTCCTTTCGATATTAAATCTTCGTTATTTTTTTCGGAAAAAAGGATTTTGGCGAATTCTCGAAGATATTTTAATAATTTTTGCATGTAAAGTGTGTAATCTTTTCTTTCATCAACTTTAAATGATATACAAATATCTTGAATTTCTAACAATTTTTCGTTTAGGATGTGATCTAAATTTAAAGCGCCATCTTTATCTGTATCGTATAGCTCTTTAAATTCGTTATAAACTTTTTCTAGTTTTCCGTATTGTTTTAATGTGTTAAAATATTTGCGAATATCATAAGTATTATAAGAAGAATATAAAACATCGGCGGAAATGTAATTTTTTTCGGTTACATCTTGTATTTTATCGTAAATTTTTGATAAACCAGGTAAAGAAGTTTTAAAACTATGTTTTAATTGTTGCGATAAAACTTTATATGATTCATATTTTAATGGCAAATTTATTAAAACATCTAAAAGATCGATATCTATTTGATTTCCATCGATATAATCATAAATTTCAACAATTTTATTTTGATGCTTTTCAATCACCTTTTGAAAAAGATTTAGTTCATCTTTGTTTATATTTTGTTTATCAATATTTCGAATATCTCGTTTTAAAGATGAAATATACCGGGAATAGTTTATTTCGTGATATAAAAGCGATTTCTGCATTTTAAACACCTAAAACAAATTTAAAATGTCACAACGACAATATAAATATTCCTTAAATAAATTGAATGAAAATTCTTTTAATTATTCTAATAATAATTCAATCGTGTTATTCAATTTGGCCACCGCCTTACAACATTCATTTAAACCACTCTGAAGAGTTTGTTATTTTCGAATCATTCGGCGACCCAGATAACATTTACAGCGATGATGAAATGATTAAATCCGAAGACCTTAAAAGTTTCAATCTTGACAAAGACTACGATAAATATTTAAAAATACACAAATATGCAATGGATTTGGGTAGAAAACAAGCAAAAAATTTTACTAATCCCATAAATACGACGAGGATTAAATGGAAAGAATCGAATTATGATAAAGAGGATAACGTGCCGTATATAGCAGGATTTTTCGAGAGCGAAAATTCCAATGTTTTAGATGAAAACGCGAAGGTTTTTTATTATAATGAAATGGCGAAAAGCGTCGTTGATAGAGAGGTTATGGAAAGAAATGGGGCGACTAAAAATGAAGGGAAAAGAGAAAAAAATTTAAATGTTATCGTACAAAAGAAATATGTCATTGAAAATGAAACCGATTATGATTATAAATTGTTTAAAAATGAGTACGATGGGGAAGTTGTTAAATTTAAAACGGATAATGATACATTAAAATTTGAAGATGTTAAAGAAGAAGAATCTGTGAATGATGCCGTTGATAAAATAATTGATTTCGAAGAACCTCTTAATTGCACTGAGGAGGAAGCAAAAGGAATCGGTTATATCTCTAAATTTATATTCGATTTATCCTATTTCTAATTTTGATTTAATTTTAAGGTTTAAAAGCTATGAAATGTCTTGCTTATGATTTACGAAACGTTAAAAACAGTGATAACAGAGAATTTTTAATCAAACGAGTTAAAAAGATTGTGTTGATTTGGTTTTGTGTCTATTTAGCGATTGCTGTTCCATTATGGTGCGAAAAAGGTATTAAAACATTACAATGAGATTATGAGAGTAAAATTAATTGATTTTTAGGTTGGTGTTGTTGTTGCTTCTTTTGTAACTGTTGTAAACCGCAAAAACGTATCGACAAGATTAAGAAATTTCTTGTGGAAAATCCCGTGGGCGTTTTGAAAACTCCTAAGGGTGTAATTAGGAAATTTAAACCGACACCTTACGAGAAATATACTCAAAAGAAATTAGAACAAGCCATAATGAAATTATAAATAGAAATAAATGGGACCAATTTTCACTATTATAACTTCCAGCTTTAAGGCTCGCTACTACCATCTTCTGGTTAAGCTATCTAAGGGATTATTACCACGGTTACGGCTATTTTGCGCGCTCTGATTGGGTAGTAGATGGCTGTATCTATAAGATAAATTTAACTAAAAGATGGTAGTAATGGACCTAAATTGTATACTAATTCAAACATCATTGTAACTTTTAAAAGCATTCATCGAAAAAATTACATTCTAAATTTACCTCTCAACATCGCAAAAATGTAACATTACAAAGTTACATTTAATTGTAACAACCGTTTATCAACGTTTAGAAGATAGATTAATGATAAAACTAAGTTCTATATGATATTTAAGTATTTCTGTGGAATTAAAAGCCTTCATATCACTAAATTTGATTTTTATGAATTATTGACACCCTGCAAAGTAATCAAATTTCCTCTTGAACATTATCAGAAGCTTTCAGGCTTATAGTCTGATGCAAGGTGTAGCGAACACAAAGTTTCTACGTACGATATTAGTGCAAGGTATTAATCCTAACCCTACTTCTGTGGAATAATTGTAGAAACCTAGGCTAGAAGGGTATGCCCACGGCCTGCAAGTAATAGCACAGGTAATAGTAAATGGCAGAGAGTTAGAGAATTTGCGAAATCCACTGTCGACGACATTATTTGCAACATGAAAATAATGCTAAGTAGCAGAAAATGTGTTAGGAACACCACTGGAGAAGGCGAGCATATTAAAATGTTGGCAGTGAAAACAAATAAGGTTATGAGGCAGGTTTGGAGATAGGGTGAGAGGATATTTGGAAACGATGTGAGAAAAAGGAAAATAATGTTTGAGAGTTTGATAAAAAGCGTTATGGTGTATGGGGATGGAAGTAGCAAGGGCTCTTAGATGATGTGTAGACCAGGTACTGGACGTGGATGTTGGGGTTGGCAAGGTAGATATGGTGAGGGTGGAAGCGCATAAGCGAGCGATGCGTTTTGAGGGGAGGGTGCATTGTAAAATATTGGAGGGTTGCTGCAGAGAGATTGAGGCAAAAAGGGCTCATTATGGGTGGGGTATTCAATAAAAGAGATGAACAGGAAAAGAAAGGAGGGTATCGAGATGTGGAAACAACTGGAGAGCAGAGATAAGAACGTGGGAATGCAAGAGAGAAGGACGGAGATAAGGGAACGTAGGTATAACCCAAAATATGGCGAAACTGTAGCGGAGGGGAAGAAGTTGGTAGCCAGGTTTAGATGTGGCAATGAAGAAACTGCCATTAGATATTGGATGGAGGATGTGGAGAGGGAGTGCAGACTATGCGGGGAGGGCTGGGAATCTTTACACCATCTGCTGGTGGAGTGTAGTGGATTGGGGAGGTGGTGGCAGCGAAGAGACGTAAAGAGACAGGGAGAGGCTGGAGAAAAGGATAGGAATTACATTAGTTATTGGTATTGTAGTTTTTAAATTGTAACCGTCTGGGAAACAATAAATTATATGGATCTGTGTCCATTGAAAAAAATAGATGAAAATAATAAATACGTATTAGCACAACTATATTGGTATTAGTACATGTGTTGTTGATACTCTTTTATTTTTATGCGTTGACCTTAAACTGCCCCATTTGTAACAGAATTTTTATTGTTATTGTTTATTTCTTCAGACTACACTTATTGGCAATTGTGGTGCAATTTGATTGTGTGTCGATTATCTATGAGATAGTCTCACATTATCATTACTATCTTCCGATTCTAGGATCCTCCCTTTTGTCAGTTAATGTTTTTTAGTATATTATAATCAGTACTTATAAGAAATGTCATACTTATCAGATACACCCCAAATGTAGACTGCTATTAGGCCTTTTTGTCGCAATACATCAAAAAGTATTCGTAGCATCTATATGTTTTCCTTAATCGTGGTGGATGGTATAATAATATCGTCCAAGTATGCCAGTAATACACCATATTTTACAAATCCAAATAATGCGTCGATTAATCTCACTGCTGCTGCGTTGCATAGCTGGGACTCAGTATATTAATTCGGTGTGAAGAAAGCAGTTTTCTCTTTAGATCTGTTTAGTTTAAACAACATCCACTGCATAAATCAAGGCTGCAGAAATATCAGTCACCTGTTAGTAGGGTTTGTTTTTATAGTTCAATGGTCGATACAAACTTGCACATTTCCAGTCTTATTCTTCATCAAAATCGCTGGACTGAGTTACTTGTTACCGTTCGCTATGCAAATGTCGATAATGTTGTCCTCTCTGATTAATGTATCTTTCTCTTTCTCGAATCATTTCTTTGCTCTGGATAACTTAGTTCCTTTAGGAATTATGAAGTCTTCATTTAAAACATTCAACAACGATTAAACAGACTTGTCTTTATGGTCAGTCTTGATTATGCACCTCGGGATAGTCTGTTTTCTTTTCTTGAATGCCACTCCACAAACAAGGCAAGATTCATTACTACCGCAATATGTATTACCAGGGTTAACTGTAATTGAGGATTATTTGATCTATTCTTTCCTTACAATCGACGTCAATTAGTGCTTCAACCAAACGATGTACTATCCGGCCCAAAAGTCAAGGCCCCTTACTTTAGTGATTTATACCTTCACAATCGCTTGACCAAAAAAAATTGCGGTACAATTTGTTGTAATCACTGAACATTTCTAAGAAACATATATGGATTTTAAAGTTTTTTTTTTATCGCGAATTAAATGAAAAAAGTACCCGATTTTGAAGGTGCCGGCAACTTTCTCCACTTAGCGATTTTTTTCCTCAAAAACAATACGACAAAAAGGTTTCAATTTTGAACAGGTGGTAGCCTGATGTACTTTTAATAAGGGGCATATTTTATTTTTTCCTTATTCCATATAGTTTCGCGGAAAATCGCGCATTACGCGAATTACAAATTAAAAATGATCAGTAATAAATAATAAGATGTGCGGGGAGAGGGGGGTTCCATTCAATCGGAAAAGATGGTGCTGGTGTGTGATCCAGTCAGGACGGCGCGCCTTTATTTTACCTACATAAAGAAATATATGTTCTGTCTGGAATGCGCTATCTTTTCCGATTGGACCAAACCCTCTCTCCCAGCATGGTTTATTTCTGTATCTTTTTAATTTAGAATTTGTGTAATTCGCTCTAAAAAAAAATAGAGACATAACTTTGATAAACAAATAACGGGATTAAAAGGGTTAAAACCCATGCAGTCGTTTTCGACATAACCGCATCCTACTACACCGCAATTTTCCGCGAAACTATAGAGAATATCGAAAAAATAAAATATCCCCCAAAAGTGGACAAAGCACTCTCAAAAATCGGGTATTTTTTTCATTTAACTGGCGATAAAAGGAAAACCGCAGACCCGAAAATGTTCAAATTCACATGTTACGGTACGTTCACACACATACTGTTTACAGGACGGTTTTTTTCATTTTTTTCATCGAGCGGTTGCGAAGATATTGATCTATAAAGTGAGGGGCCTTGACTTTTGGCACGGACAGTAGTGTTTCACGAAAATTATCCCAGTTTGGTTTGCCATTTATTAGTTTTGGTGATGGTTCGTAGTTTTTTGAAAATCTTTGGGACGGACGTTATAATTACTGGTTCGTGGTCCGAGCTTAATTCATTGAGTACGTGTTAAACTATTGGTTTGTTGAAGTTCTTTTGTATAATAATGTAGGCTATATCGCTATATCTGGCAGTCGATCTCGCTGATATGGATATGTGTATTTTTCAGGTGGTATTATTTGTGATGCATTTACTATCGAGATTTGTTCTAATTTAATATCATTTGGGTTATTAGCACGACATCCCCATGTTTCTTTTTTACAATTTAAGTCGCATATCATAAGAGTCTGGGTATCAGCTTCAAATATACGTGTTATGTCGTTTTGTAACAGCGATTTGTCTGGTTGCTTGTATACAGAATCTGGATTCATGTTAGCACCATCTATCGTTTTTATTTTAACACCACTGTTTCTACATGCTGAATACAATGGGGCCGTTCGAACGATGCACGTTTGTGTCTTCTTGATCTTACGCGAAAACATTTACCATGTTTTCGTCACCAAAGCTTTTATAGAGGGGATTTAGAAATTTTAATATTAATTATTACAAAAATTAAAGAATTTCAGGATCTGAAAATGTTACCATTCTATTTTTACCATTCTATTTTTATCATTCTATTTTTACATAGTTTATCGATTTTTTACGGTCTTTCTATTCGATTGAGGGTAACGGCCCCATTCAATTCTAGCTCTTCATGCTGTAATCTTCTTTTAACCGCAATCGCCGGTCCAACAGCCGCTGTTATAGAAATTCGATCCTTCCTCTACTTATACATTGTATACTGGGATGTTACATCTTTCACCTTGCTTTATATGTGTTTCAGTAATGCATGTTATTTGAATGTTATGACAATGGAAAAATTCAATAATTTCCATTCGTTGCTTCTTTAGTCCAGAGTGATGAAGCGGTGATGGTCTCAACCCCGTTTAAACATTATTCACTATTTGTGAATGACGTTTTGGACCATGTTGTCATTGAAACCAACAGATATGGCAACCAAACATCTCAAACTTGGAAGGACATTGACAAGGCTGAACTGAAAATATTCGTCGGTTTGTGTTTGAAAATGGGATACATAAAGTTGCCCGAGATGCGTAATTATTGGTGTAAATCTGGAGATTTTGCTGAGGTGCCAATTTGTGCCAAGTATAAGACGAGATCTCGATTTGAGAATATTCTTGGTAATATTCATTTGAATGACAACAATCAAAATACAAATCAGGACAGACGTCACAAGATCAGACCATTGATCGATATATTGAACACAGTCAGTGGTCGTTTATTTCGTCCATCACGTAGTGTTTGTATTGACGAATCTCTTGTGCCATTCCGTGGAAGGGTAGTATTCCGGCAATATATCCCCAACAAGAGACACCGGTACGGTATCAAGCTGTGTTCTGAGGGAATTTACACTTGGCGAATTCAGGTGTATGCTGGAAAGGATCCTACTAGACAAAGATCAGTAGCAGAATCCGTTGTACTAAATTTAATGGAAGGATTGCTGGATCAAAGCAGAACTTTGTACACCGACAACTGGTATACGAGTGTCAATTTGGCTGAGAAGATGCTGGATCGCTCAACAAACATGGTAGGAACAATGAGAAGAAACAGAGTAAGTTTACCAAAAGAATTTAAGAATAAGAAGTTGAAGCGAGGAGAAATGGTCGCCATGCAAAACAAGAAAGGAGTGATGAGGAGTGATACAAGTGACCAAATGGCCAGTTACACTCCCTTTGTCCGCCGAACATGTAAATGGTATGTTCGTGTTTTCTTCCACCTTCTCACGCAAACGGCATTAGTTAATTCCTGGAAATTGTATTGTGGAAAAAAAGGGATTAGCTTCCCAAAATTCAAAATTTTGATAGTCAGAGAGCTGCTTTCTAAAAATGAACCATCTCCCCACAGTTTGGAAGTAGCTGGTCCTGCAAGAACTTCAAGGAAAAGATGTTATCAGGACTTGGCTAAGGCAGGCAATTCAACTACAGCCGCAAAGAAAGCAAAAAAAGTCAACACGACATGCAACAAATGTCAAAAAAGCTAAATCGAATAATTCTCAATCTAAATAATTTTTTTAACTAAATCGATAAATTCAAAANGGTTTGTGTTTGAAAATGGGATACATAAAGTTGCCCGAGATGCGTAATTATTGGTGTAAATCTGGAGATTTTGCTGAGGTGCCAATTTGTGCCAAGTATAAGACGAGATCTCGATTTGAGAATATTCTTGGTAATATTCATTTGAATGACAACAATAAGTTTACCAAAAGAATTTAAGAATAAGAAGTTGAAGCGAGAAGAAATGGTCGCCATGCAAAACAAGAAAGGAGTGATACAAGTGACCAAATGACCAGTTACACTCCCTTTGTCCGCCGAACATGTAAATGGTATGTTCGTGTTTTCTTCCACCTTCTCACGCAAACGGCATTAGTTAATTTCTGGAAATTGTATTGTGGAAAAAAAGGGAAGATTAGCTTCACAAAATTCAAAATTTTGATAGTCAGAGAGCTGCTTCCTAAAAATGAACCATCTCCCCACTGTTTGGAAGTAGCTGGTCCTGCAAGAACTTCAAGGAAAAGATGTATTGGATGTTATCAGGACTTGGCTAAGGCAGGCAGTTCAACTACAGCCGCAAAGAAAGCAAAAAGTCAACACGACATGCAACAAATGTCAAAAAAGCTAAATCGAATAATTCTCAATCTAAATAATTTTTTTAACTAAATCGATAAATTCAAAATATCTTATGAAACTAAAGACATTTTTTTTTGCTCATTTCTGTTGGACATTCATCTATCACAAATGATTATAAAAAGAAAAAAAATCTATTCTGCTTTTCAAAAGAAATGAACCACCCCGTAGGAGTAGGCGAAGAACTTTGAAATTATGTAGAATCAGTTTGTCTATATGGACTAAATATAGACAAACAAGTGATTAAATTTTGACGGTCATCTGCCATAGCAGAAATTATCTGTCTGTTAGGTCATGAAATTGCGTGTTGTTGTATAGTATTTTTCGGAGTAGTTCGCCGTTTGTTTGCGATTGTTGTCATTGCATTAGTAAAGTTAGTGTCTCAAAAATGCCACGAGTTCGAAGACGTGCAAATTTTCGCCATCTTAAGCCCTTTGAAAGAGGACGAATTACCGGGATGCATGAGGCTGGTTTAAGCTTTCGGGAAATTGGCAGACGCATGGGCCGACCTCACGCCACTATCAGACGGACTTGGATGGATTAACAGGAAGAACGCTTAGAAACCCTTCGTAGAGGCAGTGGACGTCCTAGAGTGACAGCAGCACGCGAAGATCGGCTGTTAAGGCGAAGTGCAATACAAGACCAGTAGAACCAACGCGTGCAGTTGCAATCAATTTGATACGAGCAATTGGTCGCAGAGTGTCTATGAGTACGATTTATCGTCGAGTACGCACATTTGGGTTACGTTCATATCGTCCTTATTTTCGTCTTCCTATGACTCAACAACATAAAGATGCCAGACTGCAGTGGAGCCAAAACCGACAACATTGGGAACATGAATGGGAAACTATCATCTTCAGCGACGAATCCCGATTTTGCTTATGGAATTCTGACGGACGTTTACGGATCAGACGACCTAGAGGTCAGAGGCAAAATTTACAGTTTGTTCAGCGTCGCCACACGGCTCAAACTCCTGGTGCAATGCTGTGGGGAGCAATACGCTACGGTGGCAGGTCTTCTTTGACATTCATTCAGGGCACCCTAAACGCGCGCCGTTACATTGACGCCATTCTGGAGCCTGTGTTAGTGCCTTTCCTCCAAGACCTTCAAGAGCCCGTCTTCCAACACGATAAAGCGCGACTTCATATTGCTCACGTAACGTTAGAGTTCCTAGCACAAAACAATGTTCTGCAATTGCCTTGGCCGGCAAGATCCCCGGACTTAAACCCTATTGAACATGTCTGGGATATGATGGACAGAATATTGCGTCGATTACCCTATCCTCCTAACACTTTAGAGGAATTACGTCAACAGCTACAGGTAGCCTGGAATGAGCTGCCCCAAGAGGCAATCGACCATCTGATTTCCAGCATGCCACGGGTTACTGAATGTATAAGAGTACGCGGAGATGCAATACATTATTAACGATATTGTCAATAAATATTGCCATTTGTTTATGAAAATTTAATCGTTTGTTTGTTTCTAGGCTCTAACTATTTCTACGTAATTTTGCAGTTCTGCATCTGCTCCTTCGGGTTGATTCATTTCTTTTGAAACCCAGTGTGTAAAAAAACATCGTCTCTCATCATCTCTCATTGACAAACACTCATGACCCACCGGTGGGTCATATTGTCGTATACGTGTTAAATGGTTTGCTTTGTTCATTTGCTCCTCACAAGGTAAGTTAATAAACAAACTGGTCTTGCTGGTGAGTTTGCTATCGCGTTTAGAGCGCTCGACACGTCAGAGTTATATTATATTTATTATAGGTTATACAGAATAGGTTATATCAATCAGACTTAACCAAATGTTTGAAGAATTGGCAACATTAGACGATAAACACCTTTAAGCAGATTATTATGAGCCCTTATAATTAGTTTCTGTGAATAAATCAAGACTTCGCCACTTAGGGTGCAGTCCTCATCTTGAAGAAAAATGTGAACCAATTCCAGGAAAACGTTGTAGATATGCAGAAAGTATAAAATAGCACAAGTTGTTTTAAGATTAGAAATAAAAGAAACTTTTATTTTCTTTCAAAAATGTCTGGAACCAGAGTTTCAAATTGAAATTCGATATTGTTATCATGTCAGCTTGAAAGTGTTCAAATCAATTAAGTCATTAAAAGTTAAAGAATTGATTAAAAACCTAACACTACCTAATCAATAAGATTACAGAATTTGGAGTAATTGAAAAAATTAGTCTGCAATTAATTTTTTTTGCTAACTCTTGGTATTGATAAAGGTGATTCACATAGTTTATTCCAATTTCATTTTAGATACTCACCTTTCCTTGTTTTTAAAAAAATCTAATCCTTTTGTAAAACTGATGATTCTGTTATTCGAAAAGAAAGAAGGGAAAGTGAGAGCAAACAAAATAGCTAAATTTCATGATTTAAATAAATTTAAGAAAAGAATATAATTAACAATAAAAATATTACCTGTATTACTTGATTAGCTCTTTCCAAATCATCATTCTTTAAACAAATATTAATCAAAGCTTCCGGCTTAGCTAACATATACTTCATAACCGATTTTGGATCCTTTTTATAACTTATTACTTCAGTAACTAAATTGTATCTCCAATAAGCATCAGACACCATTCTTTGAAGCTGAATAAATCGATTAAAATCACCCTGATATGAATAACTTTTTTTGAGATCTTCAAGGATATTTTTCAAATAATTGAGTAACAATTTAATAATTTGATTGGTGCAGTAAAATTCTCCAATCTCTTTGACAGTAAAATGTTCACTTCGTCCGAACATCATTACAAAGATGTCTTCAAGAAGATCAAGTTGGAGTGATTTGTCTTCAAGATATAAAATATTTGATTTGGTTGTTTCTAAAAGTTGATTGAGTTCATCTTTGAAGCAACACTCGGATTTCGATTTTTTTAAATTCTCAATAGTTTGGATGATTGTTACGAAGATTGTAAATGAGATGAAGATCTCCACATCCTTTTTGTTTTCTTGGTGTTCTAATTGTAATAAAATATCTGGCCATAATTTACGATTTTTTAAATCTAAATATTTCGATAGGGTTTCTAAAATATTTAGATGAACTGAGTTTTTGTGTATACTAAATACGCAAGTGTTTGGATATACAGTTTTGATAAATTTTATACAATTGAATTTGAATCTTAGATTATCTATTGTGTTTTGTAGTAAGATATCGTCAATTTTTGAGTTAAATTTTAAATAATTTTCTAATTCATCTAAATTTACCGTTTTTGATTGCAAAATATAAATGATTTTTAATGTAATTATACTGGGTTTAATATCATCTGATAAATTACTTATATGGGTATCTAAATTATCTAAAACTTCCATAAACCAATGTTTTCTTGTGAAATAAGTAAAATTTAACAACGAACTTGCGTGTTTTAAATTTAACGTAACAACATGTTTATCATATTTTATAAATAACTCTAATAACTCTTTGTTTAAAACTAAACTAACAAACAATAAATCTTTTTCTACTTTTTTCGATTCTAACAATAAATAAACTTTCTTAGCTAAAACTTCAAATTCTTTCCAATCACAATTCTTCACATCTAAATCAACAATTCTTTTATAAAATTCATTTTCTAACTGAGTTTTTACACTAGAATTAATCAATTCGTCAAGATAACTCTCAAACACTTCCATTTTTTAATTAATAATGTTAACACTTCATTTCTAATAGCACAACTAAAATGATACAATTAAATATATTAATTTCTTTGTTCGGATTGAAATACTTCCGCATAAACAATAAACACTAACAAAGATTTAAAAGTACGTAAGGGTTAAAGGTCTTTTTGATAGTAAACATTGCACATAACCTAAAAATGTTAAACATTTAACGTTGACGTTTCAAATAGTTTTCGATACAGATATAAGATGGGGCTACCAATTCTCAAACTTAAATTATAAAACATTTTTAATTATGTTTTCTAATATCAACAAATCTTATTCTGTAAGCCAAGAGAGTTAATTAATTAACTTTATTAATTATTCAACTTTTTAAATCATCATAAAGCATCATATTTAAAAATGACCTTTTAAAAGTTTCAAATACTAACAATAGATGGTGACAGAATCGATTTTCCTATTTGAATTTGAAATTTTTTGAAATTAAAATAATCTTTTTGGCAAACGTCAAAAAGATTTTCAATTCCAACGTTATTTTAAGTAAACGTCTTAACCTACTTTCGTTTATACACAATCTATTTTACTCAACAATAAACCGCTTGATCTTTAGTTTTAATCATCCCAGCAAGACGCAATTAAATTAATTTCCGTAAATTTAACGTGAAAGCTCAAACTTCATAATATTCGTTAATTAAAATTAGATTTTGCTTCTGACGGCTCGTCAGATATTGATTACCGATAGTTATCTGTAAATTGGATAGTAACCGGGTTATTTCATTTAAGAGGATCATTAAAATTGTAATTGAATAGCTTCCATACTCCTCTTCATCCTTATAACGTATTATTTCGTTATGGACTTATCGTATAAAGATGGCATTAATTAAGTGAATCAGTTTATGAGCCACCTGTGGATTATAAATGTGTCATAAATTTACTTATAGCTCGCACGTGTATCATAAAACTATCAACGTGTTGAACTGACTTACTCTATAATAATTATACAATATGTCCCCTGATCGAGTTACAAAGAGGAAAAAAATTATTACTGATTTTTCAAACTTATCTCAGCATAAATAATGCGTCGGATATATTCAAACCACTACATCGCACGAACTTTATATTCTATCTATGAAGTTAACTAATTATTGCCATTTTTATGTAAAAATTATACTTTTCATAAATTAAAAATTTTTCAAGTTCATTTTACGATATGTAACCATAGAAACCATAAAAGTTACAACTTATGTTAGTGAAAAATATACGGACAACTCAAATTAAAATATGGCTAATTGAATAATAGTATATTAAAAAACTAGTTTCGTAAGACATGCTTGAAATGCACGAATTCAAGTTGAAAAACGAGTTTTTTAATGAATGAGTGCTTTAAGTCTTATGAAACGTTTCGTTTTTTATGCTTTTTTTTGTAATTCGCGTTTTTATTTTATTTTTTTAAACAAATATAAAATAAATTTTGACAATGTAGGGAAATAGGTATGCAGCAGTTGGTAACACCGTAACACTTGAAAATAGAAATTTGAATTGACAATTAGAAACTGTCAAAACACAAAATGTATTCACCTGAAAAAAATGTTTCATGTACACCTCCCAAAATAAGAGAAATTGCTCAGTGTTCAATGTCCTCATCATTGTGGACCTTGTATTCGATGCTAAGAACGTGTTTAAACATCCATAGACAAAAATTGTCACATTGACAACTAGCAAAATTAATGACGCAATGTCACCAACTTGAACTGGCTCCATAAAATGTTACTAAAATCTCATTACAGCATCGGATGCTGTAAGGAGTCTCATTACAGCACCCGTTTGAGTACTGTAATAGCTTTCATTACCGTCGCGAATTACAAAAAATATTTTAAATGTAAATTTATGTAATAACACACTATGTAAGTAATAAATATTATTTATTTGTAAGTGAACAAATCCTCATTCAAACAAATGCCCTCCTAATTCGGCACACATTTGAAGAAAAAATTCTTTATAAGAATTACGAATTTCCGCCAGTGGTAGAGATTCTATCGCATTAATTATTCTTAGTTTTAATAGTTTTGCATCATCTTGTAATGGTTCACTGTAAACAATTTGTTTCAATCGTCCCCAAAAATAAAAATCCATAATTGTAAGATCAGGACTACGTGCTGGCCATCAAATAGGACCATTTCGTCCAGTCCATTTTTGACGAAATTGTAAAGTTAACCATTTGGCACAATGTGTGAATGGTAAGCTGGGCACCTGTCTTGCTGAAAGTACATTGACCGTATAAAATTTAGGGGTAATTGGATTTACATCACTCCAATAACGACAATGCTTTGAAGAAACAATGTCATTTGTTGAAAGGCTATCTGAAAAGCAGTGTCTTCTTCATTTAGTCTCTTTGGCTGCCTCTTTATGGATAATACAGAAGACGTTTCCAAAAATTTTTTCATAAGTTTGCGAACCCCAACATGAGATATTTTTGTATCCGCATATTTTTACTAGAATTTTTGTATAACTACACGAAAACGTGATTCACTAGTACCATAGCACAGTACTAAATACTCTCTAAAGACTCTCTTTCACGGTTAACATCGCATGAAAAGGCTTAATCTCACCAACATAAGTTGTAACTTTTATGGTTTCTATGGTTACATATCATAAGTTGAACTTGAAAAATTTTCAATTTAGAAAAAAATCCAATTTTTACATAAAAATTGGAATAATTTGATAACTTTTATAGTTAGACTATAAAATTAATGCGATTTAGTAGTTTGAACATATCCGACGCAGTATTTATGCTGAGATAAGTTTGAAAAATCAGTAACAAACATTTTTTTCCTCTTTGTAACTCACTCACTTCAACCCCCCGCCGCCAGAAACCAACCCCTTAAAAATCTTAAATGGAAAGGGGTGTCAAGTGATACCTCATTTTAAAGGTCTTTTAAGGTACTACATGTTAGTATTTATTTTTTTTAAATTGATCGATATTTAGGTTATTTTGACAATGATATACCTACGTTGGCTAGCTTGCCTGGCGTCTGTCAGAGATATTTAGAAAAAACGATTTCTGTTTCATTTTTCTTTTCTTTTAGGTTTATTTGGTTATTACTTAAACAACTTTTAACTGCTTGAAACGTTCTATTTTATTTTCAGTTATTTAATTATGTACAAAAACTTTTTGCAGAGAAAATCAACTTAATAATTGTTCAAAGTGTTGTCCGTTATTAGCTAAACAATGGTACAACCGTTGTTCAAAACTACGGCGCACATTTTCAAAAACTTCCCTTTGAATTCCACGGCAAGCTGCAGTAATTCTCTGACGAAGTTCTTCTAAATTTTGAGGTTGAGGGGTAAATACAACAGACTTTAAATGACCCCATAAAAAAAAGTCTAATGGCGTCAAATCTGGTGATCNTCAATAGTTGTAGATAATAGTATATTATTCAACAAGCGTATAATGGCGGCTGTTACCCACGAAGATGAAGTTGCAAGACGAGCGAGTGTTGTAATCTGAGTGGGTAACATCCATTATACGGAAGTTGAATATTATACTTTATCTACAACTACTTAATTTTGAAAAAAAAATCAAAAAAAGGAAAAAAAAACTTGATAGACATTTCAGACATAACCTCAATATAAGAAAGCTGTCATTTCTGTTAATATTTTATTTTTTGATTAGTAGGCCGTGTCAGAACTGTGGAATAATGGCTTCATTATTCAACACTTTGTCAGTCATGGGTAATGCATGTCATTACCCGTCAAAAATCAAATGTATAATGAATAGATAATTCAATAGTTGTAGATAAAATATTTTAAATATTATTTATTTGTAAGTGAACAAATCCTCATTCAAACAAATGCCCTCCTAATTCGGCACACATTTGAAGAAAAAAATCTTTATAAGAATTACGAATTTCCGCCAGTGGTAGAGATTCTATCGCATTAATTATTCTTAGTTTTAATAGTTTTGGATCATCTTGTAATGGTTCACTGTAAACAATTTGTTTCAATCGTCCCCAAAAATAAAAATCCATAATTGTAAGATCAGGACTACGTGCTGGCCATCAAATCGTCCAATCCATTTTTGACGAAATTGTAAATTTAGCCATTTGGCACAATATGTGAATGGTAAGCCGAATGGCAACTGTCTTGCTGAAAGTACATTGACCGTATAAAATTTAAGGGTAATTGGATTTACATCGCTCCAATAACGACAATGCTGGGAAGAAACAATGTCATTTGTTGAAAAGTTATCTGAAAAGCAGCGTCTTCCTCATTTAGTCTCTCCGTCTGCCTCTTTAGGGATAATACAGAACCCGTTTCCAAAAATTTTTTCATAAGGTGAAAAGATGAGTTATTTTTGTGTTCGGATATTTTTGCTGGAATTTTTGTATAACTACACGAAAACATGATTCACTAGTGCCATAGCACAGTACAGAATAAATTCTCTCTTTCACAGTTAACATCGCATGACAAGACTTAATCTCACCAACATAAGTTGTAACTTTTATGGTTTCTATGGTTACATAGAACTTGAAAAATTTTCAATTTAGAAAAAAGTCCAATTTTTACATAAAAATTGGAATAATTAGGTAACTTTTATAGTTAGAGTATAAAATTAATGCCATTTAGTAGTATGAACATATCCGACGCAGTATTTATGCTGAGATAAGTTTGAAAAATCAGTAACAAAAATTTTTTTGCTCTTTGTAACTCGATCCGGGTACATACCGTATACATATATAAACATATCATGAAGTAAAGTATCTCTAAAGTTTGTTCATATTATTTCAATGGAAATTATTAAACTCTATTTATTTTGTTATCCTGCATAAAAGAATATTACAAACAAAATTTATTTACTTGAACTAAAACTAGAACTAATACTAGACCTAGAAGTAGAAACTTTCCAGAGAAGCCGTTCGTTTTTTAAAAAGGTGTTTGACATTTCGGATTCCCTGTTGCAACCTTCTTCAGAAACAAGTTCGAAGTGCACTTCGAACAGCTTAAAACTACAAAATCGTTTGAAGACAAACTTGCCTCGAGTGAAATGATGTTCAGTAAATATATTGCGGCAATATTGATCTTTCGAGTGCGGGAAGTTAGCACCCCATTTTTTGATTTAAAATTTTTTTTATTGTTTTTCTTGATTGTTCTGGAGTTGTTTTACATTGTTCCAAAGCGACAAATAGAAAAAATA